ATCAAAGTGGTACACCAAGTTCTATTAGCATTATTTACTTATTCAAGCCTTAAAATGAAATGTAGTGAGTTGAAATTCAAACTTGGTCTTTTTCCAGTTTCTGAATTTGATATATGGTCCAGGAAGAAGAAACAGAAGATTTCGTACAAAATGTGACTGCCTTTACTAGCCTGTTTATTGCTAGAGCATATTTGTACCAGCAAGGCACAATATTAGATTTAAAAGTCTACTTCTGGTCTCAACACATAAATTCCCAGGGATGAAAAAGATGGAGTGGAAACCTATAAATTAAAAGATTTAAAAACATAACCTGAGTGAAGAGACAACCTATGGAATGGGAGAATATATTTGCAAACTATATGTCTGATAAGGGATCAATATCCAAAACATGTAATAACTCAATAGTAAAAAAAAAAAAAAAAAAATTTAATGGGCAAAGGACATAAATAGACATTTTTCCTTAGAAGATATAGAAATGGCCAACAGGTATATGAAAAAATGCTCAGTATCACTAACCAAGGGAATACAAAATAAAACCACAATGAGATACCATCTCACACCTGTTAGAAACGCTATTATCAGAAAACAAAAGATAACTGAGCATGATGGCACATGCCTGTAGTCCCAGCTGCTCAGGAGGCCAAGGCAGGAGGATCACTTGGGTCCAGGAGTTCAAGACCAGCCTGAGCAACATAATGAGACCCCATCCCTAAAACACTAACAAAAGATGAAAGATTTCAAGTGTTGGCAGGGATGTGGAGAAAAGGGAACCCTTGTACACCACTGGTGAGATTGTGAATTAGTACAACCATTATGGAAAACAATATGGTGGTTTCTCAAAAATGTAAACATAGAACTTATCTGGCGTTCCCACCACTGGGTATATATCCACAGGAAATGAAATCAGTATGTTGAAGAAATACCTGCACTCGTATTCATCACAGCACTATTCACAATAGCCACTATATAGAATCAGCCTAAGTGTCCATGGATGAATGAATGAAGAAAATGTGATATATACACAATGACATACTATTCAGTCTTACAAAAAAGATGAGTATCCTGTCATTTGCAACAACATGGATGAGCCTAGAAGACATTAAGTAAATCAGGCACAGAAGAGTACCTCATGATCTTAATTATATGTGGAATCTGAAAAAGTCAAACTCAAAAAGAGGAAAATGATGCTCAAGAGCCAGAGGGCGGGGGCATTGGGGAGATGTTGGCCAAAGGACACAAAATTTCAGACAGAAGAGGAATAAGTTCAAGAGACCTACTGTATTATCATGGTGACTACAGTTAATAATATGTATTTGAAAATTGCTGAAAGAGTAGATTATCAGTGTTCTCACCATGAAAAAATACATATAAGGGGACTTCAAAAAGTTCATGGAAAAATGGAATTAAAAGACTAAAAATTATTTCTCAACATAAGCTCTATCAAATTCAAGATACTTTTGTAAACAATGATACCAGCCATTTAGTCCATCCCTGAAGAACTCTGAGGGCCCTGGGAATTTAACAACATCAGTGCAGTCTCTTTTACATCATAAAGAAAAATGGGTGCCCTTTAAAGATTTTTTTAAGATCAGGAAACAAAAAAGTCAAAAGGAGCTAAATCAGGACTGTAAGGTGGATGCTAATGATTTCCCATGGAAACTCTTGTAAAATTGCCCTGTTCCACGAGAGGAATGAGCAGGAGCATTGTTGTGGTAGAGAAGGACTTTCTCGTGAAATTTTCCTGGGCTTTTTTAAACTAAAGCTTTGGCTTTCTCAAAACATTCTCATAATAAGCAGATGCTATCATTCTTTGGGACTCCAAAAAATCAACAAGCAAAATGCCTTGAGCATCCCAAAAAAGTGTTGCCATGACCTTTGCTCTTGACTGGTCGACTTGTGCTTTGACTGGACCATGTCACCTCTTGGTAGCCATTGCTCTGATTGAGTTTGTCTTTAGGATGACACTGTAGAACCATGTTTCATCTCCTGTTAACAATTCTTTGAAGAACTGCTCCAGGATCTTGAGCCCACGTTTAAAATTTTCCATTGAAAGCTGTCTTTTGCCTGCAGCTGATCTGGTGCATTGGTTTTAGTACTGATTGAGTGGAAAGTTTGCTTAACCTTTTCAGTCAGAATTGCACAAAATGACCCAACTGAGATGGTTTGGGCTATCGTTTATGCTGTTAATGGTCAGTTCTCTTCAGTTAGGGCACAAACAAGATTAACTTTGTTACTCACAAACTGATGTGGATAGGGCTATAGTGAATTAAGATTGGCCACACATTTTTATTTTATTTTATTTTTTTGAGACGGAGTCTCGTTCTGTCTCCCAGGCTGGAGTGCAGTGGCCGGATCTCAGCTCACTGCAAGCTCCGCCTCCCGGGTTTAGGCCATTCTCCTGCCTCAGCCTCCCGAGTAGCTGGGACTACAGGCGCCCGCCACCTCGCCCGGCTACGTTTTTTTTGTATTTTTTAGTAGAGACGGGGTTTCACCGTGTTAGCCAGGATGGTCTCGATCTCCTGACCTCGTGATCCACCCGTCTCGGCCTCCCAAAGTGCTGGGATTACAGGCGTGAGCCACCACGCCCAGCCGTAACTTAAATTTTTTAAAGAAAACATGAATTGGCCAAGCATCATGGCTCATGCCTATAAATCCCAACGTTTTGGGAGGCTGAGGTGGGAGGACTGCTTGAGCCCAGGAGCTCGAGACTGGTCTGGGCAACATAGCAAGATCCTGTCTCTAACTTAAAAAAAAAAAACAAGAGTAAAGCTTAAGATTGAAATGATAAAATGATCAAGCAACAGGAGTGGTATATACCATCCATACTGCTCTACCACTACTCCTTTTGGCTTCATCATGATTGTTCTGCACTATTTCTGAAAAGTGAGTTGATCTTGATTTTTCATTTTTAAAATTGCTTAAACTACAGAATATTTATCCAAATTGCTTTTATGTTAGAAATGAATACATATGCTTCCTAATTACAGGACCATATTTATCAGTCTGTTTTTCTTACATATATGTATGTGTGTGTATATATATATATATTTT